CTTCTTTCGGGTTAATGGGCATAACTACTTGAACAAAATGTTGCCCAATGTTTTGTAGTCTTGTAGTAGATTTTAAACGCTATGTCATCAACGTATCTTTTGATGCGTTGAGCCACCAGAGGTATGAATATAGAATTACCATTGATCTACATGGACGTGTCATTAAGTTTTAGCTGGGGTATAAAAATTCTCAGTGCCATTTGAAGAAGGTTCACGGAGGTAGCATGGAGATACGCCTGTCTCAAATGCATTCTCTCATTCGAAGCCAAACTGACACTTTGGATGGCGAACAAGCACATCGAGAGATGCACCCGTCGACAAAGGGACGAGGCATAAGCGTAACTGAGCATGCCTCCTCCGGAAGTATTACTTTGTACAATACAGTGCAGCGCAGAAAACTGCAACACAGTAACAAATGACCTGAGCATGGCGCAACGTAGGTCATCACATATCACAGTAGGGTTACATACGACCGTAGTACCGAGCTTACCGCCGGATCAGCCCGAGGTCCTTTGCTAAACAAGCTCCTTCATGAGAATCAGCTGCGCCTTCAACTGAACAACTCTGGCTTCCATATGAGTGAATTTAACCAGTTCACCATTTCAATCAAGAACAGCATCACTCGATACATTGCCGACACTGAAAACGTTCAGTCGTTACAAAAGCTACATTTGAAAAAGACTTTAGTAAAATGACTTTGAAATCGCCATTTTAGCAGTTCACATTCCTTTTCTTGCTCCGTTGAAGGCTGCTTTCTATATTTTCACAAAATCGAGTATGCATAATATTAAAGCAGACATGGCGCTATTAGAGGATACTTTACTACATGCACAGCATATATTTTAGACCAAGGTAAGTGACTGCCAGAGACTCACCGCACGTTGCACAATCACGCACAACGAAACATGCACTAGGATAACATGCAAATATAAACCTATGTAAATACGACAGCGTTCTTATGGAGCCTGTCAAGCAACATTTACATGTTCCGCCTCGTTCTTATAAGAATGGACCGGTTACATGCGAATCTGAAGCACGTGGCGCAGAACTTCCAGTCGCACGTGCCAATCATATCATTCTCAGAGTTAGTCAACGGTTATTCGTCTCCTTTCGTCTAACTTTGAAAAAGTTGCAAAAATTGCAACGGAAGAACTGAAGGGCCCACTTCTACCTGATACCTGCGCATTCCACTGCAACACCTAACATGGGAATATTTTCTCACACCTCATACACGGTGAGGCACAAGATCCTGTAAGTACGGTAAAAATATTTGGATTGAAGCGGGTAAGCGAATAACATTCCTAAATGTGATGTTTGGGATAATTATTTCCTTCTTTGAACCTGCCACCTACATTAAAAGGACCTTTGTTGTTGTCATAATCGTCATGTAAGGTGTCATGGTCAAAGTTACTTCGGTTTTCGTTGCTGAGGCAAAGGACATGTTCTTGGTCGTAATCAAACTCACCTCTATCAGCCGGTTTAAGGTTTAGTGTTTGTTTCTGACGCACCTTTTTTGCTTCCCAGAGGAGAATGGTTTTGGATAAGTCTCCAGTTTTTTTCCGGGTGGTTCTGTCAAATCACGACAGACGCCGTTCCCTGATTTTTTCAAACAGCATTGTCAGGGCCAGTTATCTCAAATTTGCAAACAACATCGCACGACGGTTTGAACAGATCCCAGTGATGACAACTGATGTTGAAACCGAGTGGCACCTCTTTAAGAGCAGCATACTCCAGGGTGCCGCCGAATGCTGCGGTATCAAGCGGGTTGGTCTGTCGCCTGGAGGCCAGAAAAGATCTTCATGGTGGACACGAGAGGTACAACTGGCAATTAAAGAAATGAACGCTGCGTTCAAGAAACGCTTGGAAACAAAGAGCCTCCTACTCGCACGCAAGGCGGCAGCCAAAGCAGTGGCGAAAGCCAAAGCTGATTCGTAGGAGAAGTTCGGTTAGGTGTTGGAGCCGACCGAATTTTCACACGGCAAACAAGACATTCTGACAGACCATTCGCCGGCTACAAGGTGAAAAGAAGACTAGCTACAGTCAAAAATTCAGATATGTCGAAAATGAAAATTTGATTCTTTTTAGAATGTAAATTTTGAAAATCGAACATTGATATCCCAATGAAGGATCGCTTTCTTGCGGTGGTGCGCTTCAGCCCAGCGAAAGGCTTAAATTATAAGCGTTATGAGACCTCAAGCGATTAATCCTTCGCTAATTGATCAGCATTCAATGCAATTGCAGTCTCTAAAGAAACGCAGGTGCAAAGGGAATAAGGTGCTTGACAAAAGTACAGTGTCGTGGTCTTCCATATTGTTAACATGATTATTGTATGCAGCAGATTACGAGAATGACGTTGCAGTTGTGACCTTTTATCAATAATAAACAAATCTGATTTGAAGCTTTACTAGCAATGAAAGGATCATTTAAACAGCACAATAAAAATGAACAATTTGAACCCAACGTTTGCAGAGGCACGGGATGAAGGTTGAAAAGAATCTTGTGGTGCTCTGACAAAGAAGTTCGTCACTTCTCCACTGTTTGAAATTATTGCGCGTCGGAGCGAAATCCATTGTTTGTAAAGCAAGGGAATAAAGTGCACGAGTACCGCTGCTACCAAATGTCTACAGTTTTGACTGCAAAGCATACCACAACATTTTTCCCCACTGGATAGACGGATCTGAAATATGAGAACAGAAGTTCATAAAGAATATGAAGTACATACTAGTTTCCTCTCTGAATCCTTTACCTGTTAGAATCAAAACAACCTTGCCCAAAAACGTGTTTTCTCTTATACGGTCAAAGTCCCAAACGGTGAACTCGAGGTACTTGAGAGCTAAATCATTTTCACTTACATCTTTGTACACTACTGTCTGATTCCATTCAGGGTTACACGTATTACTGATGAATCTCGTTCGTCGCTTATTTTCCACTCTAAAAGTTAAAATATTGCAAGCATATTAACCACCTTTATGCAAAAATAAACTAATTGAGGCAAAAGAAGTGAATCTTAGGAACGTATGCCTACTTTAGATATTCTCTTCTTAAATAGTTAACTTCAAATTTATTATAGACTGTTAACTAAAACTGTTTATGAAGTAACTTGTAGTGCTCTTATAAAAGTATCGGTTATGATTAATTACTTCCGATCTGGCAGGAGGTAGATCTTGACAAATGGGTTTCGATAGCCACTTCTATTTCCTGCCTGTGTAGCTAGATTTCGTGCTTTAACTACAGTAACGAATAGGGTTTGAGTAGATTTTTCATACTGTAGTCGCAACAGCAGGTAACCAGTTACGTTTCTAATCTAAAAAGCTAATGAAATGAATTACCTTTCTGGCACTATGCATGCATTCGAGAAATTGCTGTATAGCATGCTAACAATGAGTGCAAGAGGGAATGTGCAGACTTCGCATTCACAAATAACAAAAATTTTAAGCCACTAAGGGACAGTGTTAACATTTGCACCAGTAGTGTACAGAGAACACACTTCTGTCACGTGAAAATGCAAGCAATATCAAGGTTATGAATTAATAAGCATTTTTGCACGTGTCTGTATTGATATTCGCGCTCTTTTTGAACGTTCATTCACTTTTGTTGCTTTTGCAATCTTTTCTTCATTGGAACTTATTTTCGGTTAAGAGAGCAACATGATTTTTCTATAATGGCGGGAAAACCAAGCATAGCTTTGAAGTTTCAAAATGGGGAGATCAATAAAGCCCCTTCTTTCCCATCTCTTGGAACAATTCTGTGTATTTGATATCAAAGAAACTTTCTGTAAAAGCAAAATGAGGTTTCAGACAAGTATCGTCTCTCAATACGAAGAATATTGCAGAGTTCGTAACTTGCAGGTATGCTGTAGTTTGTTGGAGGTTATCAGAGACGGTATTTCTGCTCCTACCTCAACAGAAAATTCACTTCATTCTAGAAAGGCGCGGAAGCACGGAACTGAAATCTCTCCCCAAGCTACACATCGATAAATGTG